CAGCGCCCGTCGTGGTGACGTCATCCTCTAGCGCCGAGGGCTCGGCCTGCGCCGGGGTGGCGCCGTCGGGGCCCTGCGGGTCTCCGCGGTTTGCACCCTTTGCAGGGAGATTGCCGCCAGCGGTCAGTGCTGTGGCCTCTCCAGATGTTAACCAAAGAGTCTTTCTGACCGTTGGGATCCTGGTTTTTACCTTTTCACTTTGTAATTGACTCGGTGTTTGACATGGAACATGTGTCGTATTTATACTTGGGGAAATATCAGTACAACTCCTTTTATTGGGAGAGAAATGTGGCGCCGTTCCAGCCCAGAGCCTTGGATCTCGGTCAGAACCCGGGGAGCAGGGAGCTGACCCAGGACGTCCTCACCCCTCCCTGGCACCTCCTGAGGACCGGTGCTGGGTGAGGTGGGTGGGCGGGACACAATGGTTGTCAGGGAGGGTGTCATGGGAGAGCAGGGACCAAGTTTGTCTTGCCTCAGAGGATGCATATTCTGCCCCGATCCCTGCCTCTCCACGACTCCCCAGACATTACCTTCTCTTCTTCTTGACTTTGGGGGAGTCCTGAACACTCAGGAGTGTGGAGTTGAGTTCCTGTGTGCCAGAAAGAGGAAATCTGAGATGGAACGCCAGCTCCAGTCGAGGTGATACCCTGGGGAACGAAGGTGCCTCAGAAAGGGAGATGGTCTCCTGGATCTCTGACTCGGTCCCAATCATAGATCCTTAATACGTGCCTGTTAGGTTCTCCAGAGGAAACCAATAGGATCTATAGGCAAGAGAGATTTATTATGAGGATGAGCAAACCAAGTCTCCAGTCCCATGGTTTGCTGTCTATCAGTTGGAGGCCCAGGAAAGCTGCTGGTGTGGTTTCCAGTCCAAATCTGAAGGCCTGAGAACCAGGGATCCGATGTCTGAGCGCAGAAGAAAATGGATGCCCCAACTCAAGCAGAGAGAGACCAGCACATGCATCATGGGAATCCCAGAGGAAAAGAGAGAACATTTGAAGAAATAATGGCTGAAATCTTCCTGAATTTGACGAATATAAATTTCCAAGAACTTCAACAAACTCCAAGTAAAATGAACTTAAAAAGACCCACACCAGGCCACATAATCAAACTTTCAAAACAAAGAGAGAATCTAAAAAGCAGTGAGAGAGGAATCCTCACATACAAGGGTCCTTAGTAAAATCATCAACAGAAAAGAAGTTGAAAACTGGCTGGGGAGCTCAGTTGGTTAGTGTCCTCCCGATACGCCAAGGTTGTGGCTCGATTTCTCCCTCTCCATCTGGGCACATAAAGAATCAACCAAAGAAGGCATAAATAAGTGGAACAAATCAATGTTTTTATCTCCCTCTCTAAAATCATTTTTTAAAAGTTATTTCTATATTTTTTAAAAAGTTGAAAACATGTCCATTCAAGAACTGTCCATAAATATTTATAGCAGTTTTGTTCATAATTGCCCAAACTTGAAGGAAACCAAGATATCTGTCAGCAGAATGGGTAAATGAAACTGTGGTGCATCCACATAATGGAATATTACTCAGTGCTAAAAAGAAATACGCTATCAAGCCTTGAAAAGACATGGTGGTACCTTGAATGTATATGACTAAGTGAACGAAACCAGTATGAAATAGCTACATAGTGTATGATTCCAACTATAGGCCATTCTGGAAAAGGCAAAACTATGGAGACAGTAAAAAAAAGATGAGTGGTTTCCATGGGGTTGGGGTGGGAGGAATGAATAGGCAGAGCTCAGAGGATATTTAGAGCAGTGAAAATATATGTATTATAATGATGGATACATGTCATGTCCAAACCCTTAGCATGTACCACACCGAGAGTGAACCCTAATGTAAACAATGAGCTTTGGGTGATGGTGACGTGTGGACGTAGGTTCATCAGTTATAACAAACGCACTAGTTTGGTGAGTGGTGTTGATAATGACAGAGGCTGTGCATGTGGGGGTAGGGGGTATTTGGGAAATCTCTATACCTTCCTTCAATTTTGCTGTGAACCTAAAACTTCTCTAAAAAATAGTCTTTAAAAAATAATGATATTTATATATTACTTATACAATCATTTCTTGATTCACAAAACACATTACTGTCAGCCATAGCCGGTTTGGCTCAGTGGCTAGAGCATCAGCCTGCGGACTGAAGGGTCCTGGGTTCAATTCCAGTCAAGGGCACCTGCCAGGGTTGCTGGCTCAGTCCCCAGTGGGAGGCATGCAGGAGACAGCCAATCAATGATTCTCATCGATGTTTCTATCTCCCTCACCTTCTCCCTTCCTCTCTGAAATCAATAAAAATAAAAACGCATTACTGTCAAATGGTAACTTTTCTCGACAGTGTAAAGGCAGACATCTGAGTATAACCCCTGGTCACAGATGAGGAAGCTGCTGTAGGTCCTCCCCACCTGGCACCATGAGAGATGCCCTGTGCCTGCTCGTCTCTGCTGTAGCAGCACTGCTCTCCATCTTCTTCTTCATTAAAGAAAACCCTTTGGACACTACAAGTTTCCTGTCCTTGGTGAGTACCAGAAGCTGTGGGTCGGGCAAAGTTGAAGTCCCTGGACTGAGAAAAAGGAGACACTATCTAAGTGTCCATTTGTGTGCAACTGTCACTAACATTATAGACACTCAGAGAAGAAAGATAATAAAGGCTAGGACTCAACATATTTTTCTTTGATGGGGCAATAAAGGAGGTGGCACTCTGGAAGAAAGAAGAAATCACACTTCTTTCCTATGGTTTCAAAGTTACACATTTTATCCCCATTTTATTCCATAGGACCCTAAACGTCAGAGAAGTTGTCATTTTTCTAAGCCAAGAAAAACTGTAAGGGGATGAGAAATTTCACCAGAACCCAGAAAAGGCAAAAAAGAAAAGAAAGGAGGGGAGAATGAACTTGGAGGGTGAAGAGTTTAGACTGGGGCATTGCAGTGGCATCACTGTGTCTCCTCTCATGCCTAGCACATGCTTTGCCCTTCATGGGATTAAGTGACCCACATCAGACTAGTTAGAGAGATGACTGTGGGGGAAGAATGGCGTGGACTGATACCATCTCATTCCCTACATGTAACCCCGGACTCCCTTCACCCCAGGACCCATAACCTGTACAAGAATCCCCGGGTAGAACTTTTTCAGAAGATAAGGAAGAAACTGACTGAGCCCTGAGCAACCTGAGATGTTTTATTATGTGATGCAAAGCAGAACCCACCCAGCCATTATTCTCAAAGGGAGGGCTCAGAGCTGCGACTTACTCTCTTCTCAGGAGGAAAAGGAGCTGGTGGCTTGGCAGAGAGCCCGGATGCAGCTTAACCCTGGTAGAACACGCCACCTGCAAACCTTCAAAGATATGCAGAAAAACTCAGAACCATTCAAAAACGTGAATTCCTATATCTTGATTGGAGCCCCTCCTAGGAAAAAAAGTGAGTGTGCACAAGGGGTCCAGACCGTGAAGGGGCAGGACAGGCAGGTGGACAGCAGGGACCTAGAACATCTGACACAGTAGACCACTCTCCTGTCAACACTCTCTCCAGTTGCTTCCAGGACCCCAAGCTCTGGTTCTCCTCCAGCCTCACTCATAGATCCTCAGTGTCTTCTGCTGGTTTATCTTCTCTCCAGCATCTAAATGTTGATGTGCCCAGAGCTCAGTCCTTGTCTGGACTGCCTTGGTGACCTCACCCAGTCTCACAGCTTTAAGTGCCATCTATAGGCCGATTACTCTAAAAATACAGCTCCGGCTAGGTCTGTCTGTGGTCCTTACTGACCCCTGCAGTGTCCTTTTCGCCCCACGGTAACCATGCTGGCAGCTGTTGCCAAGATCTGTGTCTAGACAATATGTGGCCTCTAATCTGTCAGCTCAGTTGGACTTTGTCGTTCCCCCTGCTCGGCAAGCTTCCCTTTGGGACTGCACCCTCCTGAGGTCCAACTATGACACTCATTGGATCCTCATAAGTTACATTGATGAGAAAAAATAAACCTTAACACAGAATAAGCTTTTTCTGACTCAAACAGTTTAAGAATTCAAAGGGCAAGACTAAGCTATTATGTTAATAAAATACAGTTACGTTCAAGGGGGCTGAAGAGTGTTGGCCTTAATTATACAAGAACTCTGCCCTGGCTGGGTATCCCAGGCCCATTAGAGTGTCATCCCAATATTCGAAGGTTAAAGGTTCGGTCCCCGGTCAGAGCACATACAAGAAATAACCAATGAATGCATGGATGAGTGGAACAACAAATCAGTGCTGCTCTCTCTCCCTCCCTCCCTCTCAAATCAATAAATTTAAAAAAAAACAATAACACAAGAATGCTGAGTAAAGAAAAACTTTTTTCTTTAAAAGTAATGCTTTTAGTATTCAGTTAGCAATAATCCCACTTTCTATAAAAGTAAAGAAAAACTTTTTTCTTTAAAAGTAATGCTTTTTATTATTCAGTTAGCAATAATCCTCACTGGCTATGATGCTGTACTTTTTTAATTAAATGCACTATGAAGTAGTATGAATGCATGATGGTATTTTATCTTTTTAGAAATATATATTTTGGCTCTATCCAGTGGCCTATAAATGAGTGTTTGTTACATAAATACTGTTTTCCACTAAAAATAACCAGGCTGATTCTAGGTCCAAGGCAGGAAATGTCCTCTCAGATAGCAAGGAAGCCTTAAAAAATGACTAAAGTTGTATCAAAAAGACTCAGGATCCAACTTCAAAAGGCTGTTTGCCAAGGATAGGACAATTTGAGCCTCAATAGGATCAATTTTCCATGGTTTGAAACATGAAATTCATGAGTTTATACAGATGCCTCTCCACGTCTCAATGTCACCTTCAGGGAGCCACACCCAGGGCTTTATCCTAGAGGTAAAAGTCACGTCAGCTCTGCCCTCTCCTCCTGCTGCCTGGAGTTCCTGCTCCAGTCCCGGGGTTCCCGCCAGCCCAGGACTCACCCATAGGCTCTCCCCGGGCAGACCTCCCACTTTACTTAGAAAATCGTAGCACTTTCGCCTGCGATGGATGTGGCCACAGCCAGCCCCTTAGGGGTCAGTGGTCCAGTGGTTCTGGAAACAGTCCTGTGACTGATAATCCAGGTGACCATCCCAGGGCTCATACCTGTCGTTTGGTGGCTCGAACTTAGAATTCCTCTGAGGCTTTCAGTATGAAACTAAATCTCTGCATTTGTTTTCTCTGTGTGTCTTCTGAACTATGAATTCTTCTACTTAGACTTTTTCACCACCCCCGTTCCATATTCTCTGTCTTCTAAGAATTCTGCAAATATTACGGTTCTCTAATGGCAAGCTTTCTGGTTTTTCAGTGGGACTCTGGTTGATGAGACATAAATACAAATGTCTTTAAGTTTATCATCTTTTATTTCTCCAACAATAGTTTCTCAAAGGTAATGATTTTTTTTTTTAACTCACAACTTGTGACCAAATTATTAACTCCTAACATTGTCCATGCTTAGGCTTGGGGGAGAAAATGTACAATAACCACAGAAAGACATTAAGTTGGTGTATGGAAAGACCTGCGAGTATTATAACCTCACCCATAACAACTATGTTTCTCACTTCTGTAAGTTGACAAAGGTCCTCTCTTCTCCCCAACCCTAGAACTGCTGACCATAGGGATTTCCTCCGGGCAGCGTCCTGAAGGGAGCCACCTCCTGGACACCCTGCAGTCTCTCTTCTTTGCTTCCTCCTCATCCGAGCGGAAACACTTCACCGTTCTGGTACACCTAGCAGGTCCTGACCCCAAATGGCTTGTTCAGATGATCTACAACCTCTCAGCCATGTTTAAACCACACATACAGGCCAGAGAGCTGGTGGTGATCACTACTCCTCTCACAAGCTATCTTCCTTTGAAGGATCTTAAAGTGACCTTTAATGACCCTCCTGTCCACGCAGCCTTCCACTCCAGGCAAAACATGGACTATGCCTTCCTCATGAACTTTGCCACCCAGCACTCTGACTATTTCCTGATGGTCGAAGATGATATGAAATGTGCCCCCGGATTTGTCACCCAGATAGCTACTGCAGTGTCAGCCTGGGCAAACAGACCCTGGGTGACCCTGGACTTCTCCCCGCTGGGCCTCACCGGGAAACTCTTCCGTACTGGAGACCTGCCCCGCTTGCTTCACTTCCTTCTCCTCTTCTACCGAGAAATGCCCTGGGACTGCCTCCTCTCCCATTTTCAGAACCTGCTGCAGCACACACCAATCAAGTTCCTGCCCTCCCTCTTCCAGCAAGTGGGCAACTCCTCCTCCTTTGAGGAAGAGGACACTGGCTCTCCCAGCAACCCTGCTGCCTCCATCCACACCAGCCTGAAGGTTGCCAATGACTCTGCTCCCTCACACGCCTACAGCCTGGATGAGAATTTCTTTTACACCAAGTCGGCTGAGCCTGGCAGCCATCTGACTGTGGTTTTGGATGTACCTGCCCACGTGTCCCGAGTTCAGGTGCTGACGGGCTCTGACCCGAGAGGCTGGAATCAGCTGGAAGAGGGACAAGTAGAACTGGGCTGTGACTCTACAAACAGGGTCAGTGACTGTGACGACTACACTCTGCTGGGGCTGCTGGTAAATGGCGTCCTGAACAAGCAGGTGTTGTCTCCCACGTCTGGGAAGAAGGTGAAATGTGTGAGACTGCTTGTGACAGCCGCTGCTCCCTCTGGAATAGTGGTCAGGCACATCCACCTCTGGACAAGTGAGGTTTAAGTGATAAATGGAGAAGCCACCAGGAGTTGTGGGAGTGGTCAGATTGGAGGTTAGAGTCTACAGAGGTTAAACAAACAAAAGAGTAAAATGTTGAACTTGGGTCCTTTCAGGATTGTTCGTTCAGAAGAGATGCGTGTTGAAAGGCAGAGCGAAGGTCACGTGCTCTTGGTCCCAGAACCACTGGTGGACGAGGTGGGCTTGTTAAAAGCCTTCCTGGTTTACTCACCAGAAGGTCTACCATTCGGAATTCTTCCCTTGGAGCAGGAACACCAGACTCGCAGGAACAGTAGGAGCACGTGGGTAGGACTGAGTGATGCTCATATCGCACGACGGGACGGGGTCTCTCCACCAGCAGAAATGGACTCATTAAAGGCAGGACTTCCTGTGTGGCAGGAAAGAAACACGACTGTGTGCTCTGTGGTCTCATGTCCCATAGAAGGTGGTCATTCGATGCACACTACTGACCCCTTATGGTCAGGCAGAGTCCTCTTCTCCATGGTCACCCAGCATGTCCAGTATTCCTTTTCAAATAGCCTCCAAATGACTGAAAATCACTTGTTCTGATATGTGATAGCTCCTGTCCAGCAGTCTTATCTCTGGGACTATAAGGTGACATAGGTTTCTGATAGGAAAACCTTTGGATCTGTTACTAACTTTTTTTAGTTCAGTTTGGCTATGAGATCTTTATTTCCAGAAAAATCTGAGCCCTGAGCTCAGCTAATGTGCAGTGTCTGGTTTCCACTAGCTTGACTATAATCCATGAAAGCAGGGAGAGGAGAAAAGGAGAACTCTAAGAGGGATATTTGGGAAAAACCCAAATCAAAAACCAGCCAGTGTATCCCAATGAGCTGTAACCCAAGTAGATGCAGGAGCCGGAGAGCCTGGAAACAGGATGTGGGACAGAAACAAGGAGAGGATGGGGGACAAATAAGGGCAGGAGGGAGCAGCTCTGAGCATCAGGCAGCCACAGGATCCACTGCAGTGTTGGTGGCAAGGCCACGCTCTCCACAGAATGGTCCCCCCTGGTGGAGAGCCCATTCTGGCAAGATGGAGGGTGCCTCTGACAGGTGACCTCAGCCTGTTGAAACTCCCAGAACCACACTGCAGTCCGGGGCTTCCTGGCCAAGACTTTCTTCGTCACCTCCCACCCTTGTCAGACCTTGACGACAATCTGAAGCCTCTCCCTGCCTCCTCCCCTCCACTAATGAAGCTCTGGGATGTATAATCCCATGTTCCTGTCAGCAGTTTGGCAGGTGTGAACTGACACAGGGGTGCTGAGAGTATCCTGGGGAAATGGACAGCAAGGTGGGGATTTGGGACTGGCTTCTTCATGATACTCAGGTAGCTGTGGAAATAGAGGCCAAAATAGGATAACAGAACATCATCACTGTGGGTAAAGTAGGTAGGGAGACGACAACCACAAAAGGCAAAAATGGAGGGGCAGGAGGTTGAGGACAGTCACCCCAATAAGTCAATCCCTTGCCTGGTTCTGGATCTCAGCCAATTTTCAGGTCCATGTGCACTGATGGAAGAGGTGGGCAGGTCCCTAGAAGGAAGGTCCCTGAGACACAAATCCTGTAAGATTCCCCAGACACTCTACCACCACCACCACAGCGCCTTACAGATATGTACTTGGGTAACTGTAAGCTGGGGAAAGGGAAACACCCAGACATTTAAGGTCACCAGTTCAATTCCCAGTCAGGGCACATGCCCTACAACTGGATATCCTGTAACATGGATGGTTCCTCCAGGAGCCATATGGGGCCCTCTAGTAGGGAAGCAATCACTCAATATCCACCCTTGTCGATTTGATTCAAGCTGACAGTTAATTTTCAGCTTCTGGGTTGAGATAAGACTGGAAAGCTGGCTTTAAACCCTTATTCCCACCATATCCAGAAACAGGTGCTTGATGTGAGCAGTCCCCATTCAGGGTGAACAATGGTTGTCAGGGAGGGTCTCCTGGGATGGTGACTAGTTGCTGCTGCCTCAGAGGAGCCACTCTGGGCTCCCACCCTGCAGCATTGAAGGTGAAGACTGCATTGGTGAAGTTTTTTTCTCTGTGATTTCAGAGAAACCCCTGCTCTCTGCTGGTTTATCAAGCCACATTTTCTGTTAGACACAAAGCCTCCCATCGCTGTGGCTCTGCAAACCTGGTCAAGACTTCCACAGGATTAGAAATTTCCAGCCACTTCTAGGTTTCCATCCTTCCTACCAGTCCAGGGTGGGGGAGACACGCAAGAGTTTCCCTTGATCCTTCTGACTTGATTCAAAACCTCGTAATCTGTGTGAAATAACCCCCAGTGGAGACTTTAACTCAAGTTTGAATTTAGGGAGCTAACACCTAACCCTTGATTTCTGGCAACACATCCCCTCTGGTGGGGCCTCTACTCCAAGTGGCTAAACCACTTGGAGTAGAACTGGAAACCCAGACAGGAGCTGAAGAAGGCAGCAGCTGAACAGAACCAAACTCCATGACCTTTGTCTCTCCTTAGATGGCTACATGGGGGGGTGGGGGTGGGGGCGAAGTGGGTGGAAAAGATTTAGGAAGTAAATTGGCAGAGGTGTCCAGGAGGAAGGGTGGGGGGAGGGAGGGGAGGCTACAGGCAACAGGAGGACATGCCTGGCTTCTCACTCAGGATCCAACTCCTGCTCACTTCCTGCCGAGTGCCAGGCCCAGCACCATGACGCTGTGGAAATACTCCCTCCTGGCTGTGTCCCTCATCTCCCTGAGCTTCTTCCTCCAGGACAAGAGGAACAAGCACCTTGAGTACAGCGTGTCTTTGGTAAGTTCCAGAAATTGAGAGGGATTACTTGCCAACACTTCGGCAGGGAGGAAATACGTCCAGTTATGTAAACACGCAAGCATCACCATAGAAGTTCTAAGAAGAGGGCACTTGAAGATTCAGGAACGTGTCAAAAAAAGGTATTGACCCAGCCTTGAATATGGCCAGGATTTGCATAGGGTGAGGGAGGAAGAGGGCATTCTACGCGTGGAGAGAGCCTTACCCAGACCTTCTAGGCGGCCCTGCTGCCACTCTCCTCCCATCCTCCCTTCAGGGACAGACTCCAGCCCTAAGATGACTCCTCCCACATGCACAGCGTCTGCAGTGGAGGTCATGCTCAGGTTCTGGGGTCCACCTTCTCCCTACGGGCCTCAGACCGGCTAGAGCAGAGGGGGCGGTGGCTGTGGGGAGTGTGCGGCCAGAACCGAGCGAAGAAAGGGCTTTAGAACTGAGGCACCAGGTGTCGTTCCTTCAGGACAAGACAGCTCGGTCTTCAGCAGCTGTCCCACACCCAGCACAGTCCAAGCAGAGCCAGGGGCTCTGCCAGCCGGTAATGGTGGAGAAATTAGACCTGGGCAAGGTGGGGCAGGCAGGTTCTTACTCTGCAGAAGCCTGGGGCCTTCCCACAGGCATTCCACACAGAACTGGAGAGCCCCACTTCCCCCACTCCAAGGCCCACCACCCCTTCCAGCACCACGGGTGTTCTCATGATGAGGTGGGGACAGTGCTTCACTGAGCCCCGATACTCGAGCTCCCTGGTGACTGGATCCTGGGGCTTACTTGGTCTGTCCTAGAAGGGAGATTTGCCCTCATTTGTCTCCAGAGGAGCTGGGGTGAAGCTCAGGGCTGACGCTTATCCATCCTTAGCAGGAGGAAAAGAAGAAAATACTGCAGGAGCTGGACCAGGAGCAAATCAGCTCTGAAAGCAAGAACCACTTGGAGACCTTCAAGGAGATGCAGAGACGCTCCCCTGTGCTCCAGCTCACCAGCTACAAAGTCCTGGCTGGAGCCCTTCCCCAGGAGAAGAGTGAGTAGGTGGGAGAGAGGTCAGACTGAGGGAAGAGGGAGGGGGAGGACCCAGAGGGAGATGAATGTGATGGGTGCCAGCTACGAGAGCCCTCCGGTTCCTCTGTCCCTGCCGACCCTGCCATCCAGGTCTGAGGTCCTGGCTCGTATGCCACGCCAGCAGATTCCCTTTGGTGCAGGGCAGCCTCCCCATCAGAGAGCCCAGTCCTCCAACGACCTTGCAAAGTAGTGATCAAATAAAACCACTTCACAATCTGACCAAAGATTTATCTCTTATCTAACCACACTCTCCAAGGGAAAGGAAATGTGACTTTGTCCCCAGGGGTTGGCTTTAAGGAGAGAGGGGCGGAGGGTCTTGTCACCACCTCGAGTGCTAATGGTGCCCTATGCCTCCCACCCCCAGAACTACTGACGGTGGGGATCTCCTCAGTGCAGCGTCCTCATGGGAGCACCCTCTTGCACACCCTGCAGTCTCTGTTCCAAGCCTCCTCAGAGTCTGAGCTGGACTGTATCGTGGTGCTGGTCCACCTGTCAGATCCTGACCCTGCATGGCTCAGCCAAATGGTCGCCAGCATATCAGGCCTCTTCCAACCTCATCTTGAGGCCCAGAAGCTGCTTGTGATCCACGGTCATCTCAGTGGCTCTCTTGTCCCAGGAGATCTGGGCAACATTAATGACTCCTCACCCTGTGAAGCTGTTTATTCCAGGCAGAAAGTCGACTATGCCCTCCTTATGAACTTCGCTGCCAGCCTCTCTGAATACTTTCTGATGGTAGAAGATCACGTTGACTGCACCCCCAAATTTGTTTCTACCATCTATTGGGCACTGGCAGCCTGGAAAGAACGACCCTGGGTGACCCTGGAGTTCTCCAGCCTGAGCTTCTCCGGGAAAGTCTTCCACAGCAGCGACCTCTCCCGCCTGACCACCTTCCTCCTCCTCTTCCCTAAGGACACGCCTACTCACTTGCTTCTCTCTGAATTCCGCCTTCTCTTGGCCCAACATGTTCCTATTCGTTTCAGTCCCTCCGTCTTCTATCCGACGGGCAATTATTCTGCGTCTGAGAACACCTGCTTTCCTGTGGAGAAGGAAGTTGTCTTTGGTGATCCGGACAACCCGGTAGCCAATGTCCTCACTGACATGAGGCCGATACCGAATGTGATTCCCCATTACGCCTACTTTCTGAACACGGAGAGCTACATCACCCTTGATGCCTTAAGGGGCAACTACCTGGTGGTGGTTTTGGAAAGGCCACAGAAAGTCGTCCGCATAGAGGTGCTGACAGGTGCTGACAAGCAAGGGCAGTACCGGCTGCAGCAGGGCCAAGTAGAACTGGGCTACGACCCCCTGGCGCATCCCGAAAGCTGTGCGCGCTACACCGTGCTGGGCCCGCTCGTGCAGGGGAACTTGGACCAGAGGGTGTTTTACGAAGAGGGCACCGTGGAGCAGCTGAGCTGCATACGACTGCTGGTGCTGGCCTCTCAGGGCTCCTGGCTCGTCATCAGACAGATCAGGGTCTGGACTCAGCCCGAGGAAGAGGAGCGCTGGAGGCACGCTGGGGATCCTGCAGGGATGGGCCTGGGGAATGCAGCCTACATGG